CGTGTCCGGTCTCGACACCACCATGCCGCGCGTGCCTCCACGTGTGCCGGCCCGCAGACCACCATGCCGGGCATGAAGCGCGACCTGGGCGGCGCGGCGGCGATCCTGGGCGCCTTCCTGGTGGCCGTCAAGTCGGGCTTCACGCAGAACCTGCACGCCGTGTTCTGCGTGGCCGAGAACGCCGTCGGGCCGACTGCCACGCGGCCGGACGACATCCACACGCTCTACTCGGGCAGGTCGGTCCCGCGCGCGCGGGCCGCGGCGGGCGGCCGCCGGTCGTGCCGCGTCCGGCGGGCTGCGCTCCTAGGTCAGGTGCGCCAGGTGCACGCACGCTCGACCTGCCGAGCTGTGCACGCTGGCAGCGATGGCGCAGTCATCGACGGCTGGCGAGTCGGGACTGCGCTATCATCCAGTGGCTGGCCTTTTGGCCGCCGCCCCGGACTGAGGCCGTGCGAGTTTGCAGTCCCTGTTGCGGGGCGTGTGCTGCTGTCGCCCTGGGCGCGAACCACGGGCTGTGTAACCCCTGACGCCAATCGTCTTGCGTTCCAGAACGGTGGAGATCAACAACACGGACGCCGAGGGTCGGCTAGTGCTAGGTGAGCTCCGTCGGCGCGTCGTTGGTGCTGTCCTCCTGCCGTGCTGGTCGACCGCCAGCAGCACAGTGGACCTCACGAAAGCCCCCATGGCAACGTCGCTAACAGCTGCTCGCCTTGCTCCGCCCGCCGCGTTGTGTGTGGTTCGCCGCTTGGTTGTTGAACGATGAGAGGGTCCCTGCCCTGGCCTGACCACTCGTCCGTCGCGTTGCCGTCCAGAGCCGAGCGGCACCGCGCGGCGCCGCGCGTGGTCGGCCGTATGCGTGGTCGGGCGCCGTTGGCGCCGCCTGGCGAGAGCGCCGTCCGGCGCCGCCCCGCTGCCGGCGTCGGGTGCTCGGCGCCGCCGCGCTCCGGCGGCTCCGGAGGCGGTGCGCACGCTGTCCGTGACGTGGCGCCGCCCTCCTCTTCAGCCGACGGCGTGGCGTACGCCAACAAGGACCTCAAGTGTACAACCATCCTGGACATGGCCACGCTGACGGGGGCGCAGGTGAGCGCGCCGCCGCCCGCGGGGGCCGGGGGCGGCCGCGGTGCTGGCGGCCACCGGTCGGGGCGCAGGTGAGCGCGCCGCCGCCCGCGGGGGCCGGGAGCGGCCGCGGTGCTGGCGGCCACCGGTCGGCGCGCGGGAACGCGTGGCGCGAGGGAGGCGGACGTCTCGTGTGCGGGTGGCATTTGCAGGCCACCTTTTCTGACGTTGTCGCCGTTAGATGTGGCAGTTAGAGCGAATCGCGCTGTTCTGTCGAACGTGTTGAGCGCCATCAGTGTCCCTGTTTGTCGTCCCCAACGCTGCTTTGCCCGTACCGAGACTTCGAAAACCGGGCTCGTTTGATGGGATTGTTGCACCTGAGCGTCCCCACGACTGCACACCAAGAGCTCCCGTCCTGTTATAGCCGGGTACGCTGCCAGTCGTCTAGCTGGCGACGGTGACGCGACCCTGACCTGACCTGACCTGACTGCCGCAGGGCACGGCGACGGGCAAGTACCACGGCGCGCTGCTGACCAACCAGGAGTGCTGGGAGGTGCTGGGCGCGGCGGCCGGCCGCGCCACCGGGGACCTCCTGTTCCCCGTGCCCTACACGCCCGAGCTGCACTTCAGCGAGTTCGCCTCCAGCGTGGCCGACATGAAGAACTCGGCCGCGGTGAGTTCCGACGCGACGGCGCGGAGGGCCGGTTGTGCCCGGCTCAGGACGGGGCCGCCAGACGGTCTCTGTAGCTCCGCGTCTTGTTCTGCGCCCTGACCTGACCTGACCTGACCTGATGGCGGCGGTGCTCTGTTTGCTGCTGGCAAGCTTGGGAGGCGCTTTGTGCGAGAGGCTGACGCGCCGTTTCAGCTGGTGGTTGCATTAATTGTGATTTTTTATAGTTAAGTGTGAAGTGGACTGCACAGCTTCCCTGCTTCCTGTCTGTCCTAAGCGTCATACGTGATATCGTAAAGATGCCAAATTGCGTGTGAGATGAAGGCACTGCTGTTGAACGAAAATTGCACAGCTTTAAGATTCAAGCACTCATCAACATCACATTGATACCGCGGGGTACGGTGCCAGCCATTGGCACGAGCACACCTGCCCGTGGGCGGGATTCCCCGAGCGGTCGGTGGTGTGGCGGCTGTGGCCAGCACTATTGCCGTCGCTGCCGGCGGCTTGCTCGCGCGGCTGTCCGCACATCCAACGTCGTCTCCGTTCCAGGACCGCAGCAACGCGCTGGTCTCGTGCGCCGGCCTCTTCATCGGCGCTAACCTGGGCTTCGACTTCCCGGGCTCCTGGATCCACGTGGACATGGCGTCGCCCGTGCATTCGGTACGCTCCCGGGGCGGCAGGTGGCGCTGGATCACTGCCGGAGGGCGGCGGCCGGCTCGGCTGCCGCTGCTCCGGTGGAGCCGGGCGGTCTGGCGCGGCGGCCTGTCCCGCGGCCGGTGGACAGACCCGCGAATGGCCTGTGATGAGGCCCGTGAGGACCGGGTCTGCTGGGACCGGGTGCTGCGCGACTGGTCATGTGGCTGACACGCATGGCGGTGACATGAACTCCACTGGCTTGCCTGGTGTTCTCGTACCACTGTATTGATTGAGCCTTGCTGAGACGTTGGAGGCCAGGTGGCTGATGGCGGGCTATGTCCGCCACAGCTTCTTCCGACTCTTGCTACCAATCCAGCAGCTATCCAGATTCCTCGTTATTTCACTACAAGCTGTTGCCACCTGTCGTTAAGCTGAGAGCCACTCCCGCCGGCCGCGAGGTGACCCGTCTGAGCCCTGCTGTGACCCCTGGCTGACGGAGCGCGCGCCGCTCCGGCAGGGCGACCGCGCCACCGGCTACGGCGTGGCCCTGCTCTGCGTGCTGTTCGGCTCCCACTCGACCCACCGGCTGCTGCAGCAGCTGGCACCGCCGGCGCCGGCCGCCGCCGCCGCCGTCGCCGCCGCGGCCGACCTGCCCGACGGCACCACCAACTCCAGCAAGAAGATGCGGCTGGAGCAGCGGCGGCCGTGAGGCCGACGCGCCGCGCCCCGCCCGCGCCGCTGCCGCCGGAGCCCGTCCCCGTCCCCGTCCGCCGTCCCCTGCCCTCTCGCCGCTGGTGCCGCAGCGTCGGCCGCCGATCAAAGCGCCGCGTCGCCCGTCCCGCAGTCGGTCTGAGTGAGACCGCGCCGTCCGCGCGGTGCGTCGATAACCCCTCCGGATAGAGCAGCGGCGCGCGCCGTGGAGGGGCGCGCGCCCTCTGTTGCCCGCCGTCACGCCTCTGTTGTACCTCAGTTCCACGTCCGCTCACCGTCGTACAAGCGCAGTTTATGATTAGGTGCCTAATTGCCCGCGCGCCGCCCGGGCGCCATTAACCGACCGGCCCGCGTGTGCCGCTGATTCGGCATCGCACGGCTGGTTCCTGCAGATATCTCCGAAGTTACTCTGTTGACGCGTCGCCTCGCAGCCCGACTGACTTCACGCCGAGACGCGTCAGTGTTTTTGTGGCTCGGATCAATGGGAGTGTGTGTCGGCCGCGCCGGGCGCTCGCGCGCCAGGCAAGGCTATGCTGTCGTACAACGTACCGACTCAGGCGGGTAATATGGAAAAACACCGAGTTAACCAGCCGCCTGTTTTGCTACCAGGGAATCGCCCGTGGCCACCTAGCACGCATCCATGATCTTAAATCGGAACTGTAACGTAATGATTTAACGTGACGTAGCGGGACCGTAATGATACGAGCTCAAAGCAGATCTCAGGAGCTGAGGAGAGGTTGGGCCGTTTTCTGCATGCTTCTCGCGTCTGGGAGCTGCAGCCCCGTGTGACGGGCTGTGCGTGGCGCCGTTGGGAGAACATCCAGGACCAGACATGTATTTCTGGGAGCGTCAGAGGGACCGCACGAGCGCGCGCTAGGCCGGACCCGGTGGCCTCCCCGGAGCCGGGCACGGCGGCCGCCCCGGAGCCGAACACGGCGGCCCGGAGCCGGCGGCGGCCCGCAGTCGAGTCCGGGGACCGCTGCCAAACGCCAGCCGGGTCCGGGCAGACTGCGGCGTCCGACGCGTCAACGGATGGTGCTGCTCACTTTGGGCATTGGCAAGGGTTACACACGTCTTCCGGCCGGTCCGGCCAGCCGTACACTTTCCATTAGAATGACTGGGTGGCAACGTCTAAAGTGAAGAAGCATCCGTGCGTCATCGTTCACAGGTGCAGAGGGAACGCACTTGGTTAACTGAGGGGTGAACCATGCTTGGGTAAGCGGAAAAAGATGATATATTCTGTTAATTTTAAGTGAACAGGGCTACTGGCCTGGTCAGAAGATGACCAAATAGATAACCATGCGGTCATAATCGTGAAGACACCTGCGGCAGCTTCGTCAGCGTGGGCCGTTAGAGCAGCGTGCGGATATCGGCACGGGGGGAGGGGTCAAGATGGGGTCGACACCGGCCCCGGCCATGGCCTCAGGGAGGTGGCGCTGCTGCTGCTGGAGGTCTGATGCCGTTCTCCAGAGGCCGGCGGCGCAACATTTGCAGTTGGAGCGTGGGGAGAGGTGTGCTGAAATGTTCCGGCACGATGCTGCCCTGGCGTGGTTCCGGTTCGGTTGGATAGCGGCCCCTCGTCAAAGTCAGGCGGGAGCAGGAGATTCAATTCAAGAATCAATTCAATAATTCAGTCGATTCAGGAGATAAGGCGCGGGAGTGCTGGTGCAGGGGCAAGGGAGGCGGAACAGGCCCAGGTCAGGCGGGCAGCAGCCCAGTTGCGGATACGTTCGGCAGCAGCGCACGTTCAGGTCGGGTGCGTGAGCAGTTCCAGTTCAGGGGATCAGGTGGAGGGCATCTCCAATGTAGCATATCAGATTGGGAGTAGGTGCTATGTGTATGGGGATCAATTCCGGTTTATTTGGGGAGCGAGGTCATCTCATTTAGGGGCCGCCGCTGGTTAGCTGGTGGGGGGGGGGGGGGCAGCTCCGGTTTTGTGCAGCAGCTCCGATTCATGTGAGGAGCGACTCCGGTCCCGGGGGTGGTCGGGCGGGGGCGGGTCACTCAGTAGGTCTCGTTCTCGTGGGTGAGCAGGTCCCGAGCCGACTCAGACTTCTTCGGGTTCTCGCCGCCGAAGCCGGGCGGCCGGCCCATGTTCTGAGTCCTGCGACGGAGCACGTGACGTCACACGGTGCGGGACGGGACGCGTGACGTCATACGGCGCGGGACGGGGTGCGTGACGTCATACGGTGCGGGCCGGCCTGCCGGCCTCGCAGACTACCACACATCGGACGGCAAGGCCTGAGGGAGTCACGGCCACGGGCCCCCACCGCCGGCGCAGTGACGGATAGCACAGCTCGAGTGAAGTGAACAGTGAGAACGTCCGCATTCGAGTGGCGTGAACGACCCGGGTCACTGCATCGCCAACTTGTTGGCGATGAGGGCCCGATGTTGACCGCATAGGCGGTCAACATCGGGCCCTCTTGCATTGGCGGTCGGTGTTGGTGCAGTTCTAGGGGAGGCAAGCATGGATTTGCTAGGCTGGTGTCCTTCCATGATCCCACGGAATTGCTCTGGTCGCTTGGTATTATTTTGATGGAAAAAACCCTGATCTTTTTCATTCGGTTGTTATAAGAGTGAAAGCGATCCTATTTACGGGTTAGGTGCCAGTGTGGCCAGAAAAAGCAGAAGTGTGCCGGTGGCATGTACGACAGCATGTAGATACATACTTCGGCGTATTTCACCTTGTGTTAGCTAGCAGCCATGAAAGTAAGCACGAACTGATCTAGCGATGAGTGGATGTCTGAGCCGGACCACATCCCTTGACTCCGCTCGGTGGCCTGCACGAGGAGCCCGCAACCCATTGAGATGATGCCCCGGGGTCGGCCCGGGAGTTACCTCTGCTTTGTGACGGGCTTGGCCTTCGATCTGCAGCAGCAGCACTTGGTGTCCTCGTCGCAGCACTGACCGTCCCACCTGGCGTACCACATGAGCAGGCCGAACAGCACGATCACGCCGATCACGCCGCACCACAGCTTCACCTGGCGACACAGACGGCGCCTTCACCCGGTGATACAGGCAGCGCTTTACCTGGTGACACAGACGGCACGATCACGCCGATCACGCCGCACCACAGCTTCATCTGGTGATACAGGCAGCGCCTTCACCTGATGACACAGGCAGCACGATCATCCCGACCACGCCGCACCACAGCTTCACCTGGTGACCAACAGCGCGTTGGCATGGTGACACAGACGGCACGATTTCGCCGATAACGCTGCACCACGGCTTCACCTGGTGACACAAACAGCGCTTTCACCTGGTGACAGACAGCACGATTACGCCGATCACACCACGATCACGGTTTTGCCTGGTTTCGACACAAACAGCAACTGCACGCGGTGGCACAGACATCACCCTCACCCACGTGCTCAAACGAAAGTTTCAATAGGTGGCAAGGACTGAGGCGTCACATGATGATGCAGGCAGCCGCTTCATCTGGTTGCATAGACGGCTTCTTTAGCCAGCAATACGACACAAATTCACTGGGTAATCCAGATAGCATCGGGACCATCTTCACAGCAGCACCAGGGCGACCGACCTGCCGCATGATCTCCTCCTCCTGTTCCATTTCGCCGCAGCAGGAGGGCTTGGCATCCTCCGTGCAGCACTTCTTGTCATCTTTGCACGTGTACAGGTTGTTGGGATCCTCCCAGTCGATGGTGTCGTCCACGCGACACTGCAGACCGGCCGCTGCAGGCGGGCGTTCGGGTCAGGCCGGCATCATGGGGAGCAGGAGCGTCAGTGTGCGGCGGACGCCGCCCGCCAGCTCCGCAATCTATACAGTGAACTGGCTGATGGACTGGGCCACATGGGCGTTCTGTGACGTAATGATCCATGCGCTAGGGCGACGGTGGATTGGGGGTGGCGGTGGCCGGGTTGTACTGGCCTTCGTTAGTCCGGTCGTTATATGACCGTGAATGTCACCTCGGGTTATTGGGCGTGTCGTCTTTCCTGCAAACCACGCGCCTACCATGCACCGAGTAGCGCGAGAACTCGAAGGCGTGTAGACGCCCCTCCCCTCCCCCCATCCATTCCGCTTCGCATTTTCCAACGGTGAGCATAACATTGCGCACCGTCGGGAGGTACTTTTCGACGGGGCGCCAACCGCTCCGCCGACGACCAGGAGTCTGGCGTGATGAGAGTCTGGGAGTAGAATTACGCGGACCGTATCAATGAGAGGCGCATGTACGCCGCTCTTCATGTTTTTGTCCGTTGGGTGGCAGTTTGTTGGCAAACAACGCACAGCGGGGCAGCAATATCGGAGCTGATGCTGTCGTCTGTCGGTAGAGGGCGGCCCATTCTGGCAGAAGGGGAGGGTTTGAGCAGACACCACCGCTGAGAAGGACGGCTCGCGGCGGTGGCCGGCGAGGGCGTCTCACGCTGGCGAAAGGGGAGGGTTCGAGCAGACACCACTGTCTTTCCGCAGAGGAGGACGGCTCGCGGCGGCGGCCGGCGAGTGAGGATTCGAGCAGAGGAGGACGGCTCGCGGCGGCGGCCGGCGAGGACGACTTACCGAGGTGGCAGAGCAGCGTCAGGAGTACGGCCACGGGGACGCGCTCCATGGCTGGCGGCGGGACGGCGGACGCGCGTATGGCGGCGGGGGACCTCCGACACCGGTGTTACGGAGTGTCATGGCGACGATGGCCGGACACCGGCGGCCCGCACGTAACCAGCCGGGCACAATCAATGTCGACATGGTGACCGGCCGACACGGTCGGACCGCCACTGCGCCGTTCAGCTCGCGCCGGCTGATGCCGACACGCGGCACGGCTTAGCACGCGGGCTCATGCCGGCCGCCAATTCAAGCAGCCGAAGCATGAGTCCAGGGACCGTCGCCGCGCGACGCGGTAAAGGCACGCGAAAAGGTCGTGCCCGGCGTTCCGCCGTGCACAGTTCACAAACTTTAGCATGTTTCATCTGAGGCCGCTTGGAACCGTAGGGTCGATGGAGAGGGTGACAAGACCAAATCAACAGCAGAGCATGATGGAGAACTTGGACGTACCGGAAATGTGGCGTTTCCAGGACTGGTGACGTATTTCGCCTAATTTGCCTGACGACGCTCTTTTGTGGCGTTTGGCGTTACTTTTGTTTTGGTGAGCGGGAAATACCAATGCAGGCGGCACAGACTGTGTGGACTGTATCACACAAGTGACGCATGGTCGCCAGAGCATAAAACATGCGGCATGCGCACATCACTTACGATTTGAGAACTGCGTGAGTGGTGTGTGACCTCTTGCAATACCCGAACTCACGTCTGACTCAAGGGCGCAAGGCAATACCCGAACTCACGTCTGACTCAAGGGCGCAAGGCAATACCCGAACTCACGTCTGACTTCAGGGCGCGGGGCAATACCCGAGCTCACGTCTGACTCCAGGGCGCGGGGCAATACCCGAGCTCACGTCTGACTTCGGGGCGCGGGGCAATACCCGAACTCACGTCTGACTTCAGAGCGCGGGGCAATGCCTGAACTCACGTCTGACTCCAGGGTGCGGGACAATACCCGAACTCACGTCTGACTTCAGGGCGCGGGGCAATCGGCATTGGTGCGCGGAGGCGGTTGATGGTGACCCACCCCGCTCGTCCGCACGCGAGCCTGCACCGATCCCTGTATCTGCGTCACACACAAGCCCCCGGAGCAGCACCCCACCGACGCCTGGTGCCTTGTGTTCAGTCTGGTGTGGTTTATGCTCGGTGACGAAAGACAGAGAGCTTGTCGTTTCGGTGGTGCTGATGCTCCGTATTGTGGCAGCACTGACATTTGGCCGCGACACGCAATTTGGATAATGCGAACTGTCGGTGAAGCGAACAGGTCACAGTTTGAAACTTTCAGTGCAATGGAAATGGTAGATAATCTATATATGTTACGCCACATACAAAGCTTAACCGTTTAACTGCCAGTTTTCAGACAATTCCCGTGCATTGTCGAATGACGTCTATCCAGACGGTCCTATGCTGATCTGTCTCGACCACGACGCAAGCAACATTATATATATATATATATATATATATATATATATATATATATATATATATATGTGTGTGTGTGTGTGTGTGTGTGTGTGTGTGTGTGTGTGTGTGCGTGTGTGCGTGCGTGCGCGCGTGCGTGCGTGCGTGTGTGTGTGTGTGTATACACATATATACCGGAGTCGTCCACGCAGCCGGCCCGTGCCAGGGCCAGGACAGCAGGAACGGGCGCTTCTTTCGTCCCGCCGCCGTGCCAGACCAGCCGCTTCGACAGCAGGGGCCCACCGCAGCCGCGCGGCATCCCACCACGCAGAACACACGCCCAACGTTTCTAAAATATATGTGTATTTATCCACCGCACGCGATGCAGCCGGTTACAAAACACGTGCTGCGCGTCCGCCGGTCAGCGGCGGCGGTGGGCCGGCGCGCCGTCTGCCGCTGCGTGGCGCCCGTCAGTCCCATCTGTTATATAAAAAATAACCGGACCCGGGTTGCGGCGCACGGTCGCGCTACGACACAAACAGTATGAAAAGGTAAAAGACCTCTGGAACGAACGCGTCGCTGCAGCCGGCGCGCCACCCAGGGGCGGACCGCCGGCGGCCCCGCCCGGGGTCACCGGCGCAGGCCGCCCGTTCGTCCCGGTCCCCCCCCCCCCCCTCCCTCCTCCCCCCGACACTGAGGGCTGCTAATGCCCGGGACAGCGGCCGCGGCCGACACTCACGCTCTCACTCGGCGCCGCACGCCACCTGACGCCGCGCGCGCGTGCGCAGGCAGTCTGCCCGTCGCTCGGTCAGACACGCCGCCCGCGACGTCGCGCTCAGAGCCGCGCCGCGCCGCGCCGCGCGCGGACCAATTGGCACGATTTCTCCCCCTCCCCTCCCCGGAGCGCCTATGGAGACAGCGGTGTGCGGGCGGACCGGGCGGCGTCGTCGCGCCGGCTGAGTACGGGGCGGCGGTGGGCGGACGGCCGTTTGTACTGCGCCACCGCGAGAGGGCGCGCCGCCCGGCCGGCCGCCGACGCTCCGGCCGCGCACGCCCGCCGGCTCGCTCGGCCCCGCGAGCCGGCTACAACCAGCGCGACCACATCAGGTAGACGAGCAGAGCGCCGCCCAGCGCGGCGGCCGTGTAGCCCAGCGGCCGCAGCTGCTGCTTGCGCCGCTGCCACAGCTCGTGCTCCAGCTGCCGACGCCGCATCTCCTCGACGCGCTGTTCCAGCTGGGCCTTGCGCACGCGGCGCTGGCGCAGACCGCTGCTCCTGCGGCCGGCGCAACGGCGCGGTGAGAGCGACGCTCAGAGGCCGGGCGCACGGCGACACACTTGTTGTTAAAACAGGAACGTGACGCCGACTCAACTGTTTCCGATAAGTCCGGCGTCGATGCAGAATTGCATCATCAGACTAGATTTGCTTCATTTGTTACCCAAGATAAGCGACATCGTCAAAGGATTGTGACTGATGATATTCGCTTACAGACACACCACGTCGACAATTAAACCTGGGCTCTGCGCTTGCGGGACAACTTGGTGTGTAACTGGGCAGCTAGTCGCAAAACCGTGAAGCAAGCGTATCATTTTCTACTCTGCTCAGACGGAACACGCCAAGACGGCGTTCTTAACCAGCCTACCTCATCGCAGTAAGCAAATACGGCAAGCGGTGGTATCAGCGCCCTCACGTGACCAAACAAGCCAATACCACAGCGTGGCGCAGACCGCGATAGCAGTCGGAGTCGGCACTGGTGCAGTGTACGAGTCTGCTGACAGTGGCGTGGTGCCTGACCTTAGTTTCGGCCACCTGGTGTTTACGGTTTGTCGGCGTCAGTCGAGTGCCCGAGGCAAGGTGTGGGTGGCGTGGTAGCACGCCTCTGCCAGTGCGGGGCAGGGGCCAGGTGCCAGTGGTGTGGTTTCAGTGATGTCAGTGCTCGTGGTGCTCGTGCTCTTCGGTGTCAGCGTCGGTGTCGGCGTCGGCGGCCGGGCGCGCGCCCCACTCACCCGTCGTTCAAGAGTGGCGCGTCGATGAGGTGGGTGAGCCGGGGGGCGACGCCGGTGTCGGCCGGTCGGCAGGCGTTGGGGCGCGGCGGCAGCTGGGGCGTCTCCTCTTCGGACGAGTCTGCGACAGACCGCGAGCTGTCAGACACACACGGACCGTCTTAGAGCAGCGCCGGGCGACACGCAGCGCGGGGGAGCCGCGCACAGCACAGCACGGCACGGCACGGCACGGCACGGCACGTACAGGGCGGCGCGCGTACGCAGCGGGTACGGCGCACACGTGAGGAGCAGCACCAATACATGGTGGGACGGCCCAGACGGCCGGAGCCCGGGCACCGGCCGGCGACTTCCGCCCATGTCAGCTGGGCTGGCTGCTGTGTGAGCTGGGAACGACAGCGCCGGCACACCGGGCACGAATATAGCTTCGAGTATATTTTTAGGTGGCCGAGGTGGTGCAAAACAAAGCCTGAGTGCTACGAACCTTTGCTGTGCGTGCATGTTACTGAATTAAGACAGTGGACCAAAGTCAAACGGAACAAGCAAGCAAACCACGAAGGACAAAATGCCTGATAAAATAGCTGATGATGATGATGATTGGGGTTTTAGGGTGCACACACTACTAACGTCTTTGCGCCTGATAAAATAGCTTGCCGGGACCGGGGGCGGATCCCACAACTGACGACGGGAATTGATGTACGCGGGCAAAAAGCCGCGTCGATTTCGGTCCAGTTAGTTCGTATGTGGTTTTCGAACACACTCAATGCACGAATAGCTAAGGTACGTTGTAATGAAAACGGAAAAATGACCTTTCAGGTTTGGTCGCAACGGGAATAAAACGAATTTAGTGAGCAGCCCCATAGCGCCTTGAAAGCTAAATACAATAACGGCTTACCGGAACAGTGGTGCAACACAGGAACAGAAAGCGACAGTTTTGAAACCAAACAGAACAATCGGCAAACATTGACGAGATGGAACGGCAAGCACACTTAACCAGTCATTTAGTCGGCAAAACAACAGCTATCAAATAATTATGCTATTGGTTAGAAACACTGGGCCCACACTCATTAGCCCGGCGCGTTCCAGCACTGCGCAGCGAGCCCCCGGCCGGCGGACACGCGTCGGAAGGCGCGCCGCGCCAGCCCAAGCCACAGCAACCCAATAAGCTGAGATGGAGCCGCGCGCTGGCCGGCTGGGGAGACCCGAAGGCAAGCGACGCAGTGGGAGGAGCTCGACCGAGGGTCGGAAGGAACTCGGCCGCTGCCACCCCGTGCTACTGACCGGGGGGGGGGGGGGGGGGGCAGCGTCCGGGGATGGTGCCTCGCCCCCCCCCCCCTCTTGCCACTCACCAGGGGAGTAGGACCCGGGGACAGCGCGCCCCGTGCAGCTAAGCGGGGGGACCAGGACCCGGGGACGGCGCCCCCTCCCCTCCCCCCCGTGCCACTGACTGGAGGGACCAGGACCCGGGGACGGCGCCCCCTCCCCTCCTCCCCGTGCCACTGACTGGAGGGACCAGGACCCGGGGACGGCGCCCCTCCCTTCCCCCCCCCGTGCCACTGACTGGAGGGACCAGGACCCGGGGACGGCGCCCCCCCCCCGTGCCACTGACTGGAGGGACCAGGGCCCGGGGACGGCGCCCCCTCCCCTCCCCCCCCGTGCCACTGACTGGAGGGACCAGGGCCCGGGGACGGCGCCCCGCCGTGCCACTGACTGGAGGGACCAGGACCCGGGGACGGCGCCCCCTCCCCTCCCCCCCCCCCCGTGCCACTGACTGGAGGGACCAGGACCCGGGGACGGCGCCCCCCCCCCCCGTGCCACTGACTGGAGGGACCAGGGCCCGGGGACGGCGCCCCTCCCCTCCCCCCCCCCGTGCCACTGACTGGAGGGACCAGGGCCCGGGGACGGCGCCCCCTCCCCTCCCCCCCGTGCCACTGACTGGAGGGACCAGGACCCGGGGACGGCGCCCTCTTCCCTCCCCCCCCGTGCCACTGACTGGAGGGACCAGGGCCCGGGGACGGCGCCCCCCCGTGCCACTGACTGGAGGGACCAGGGCCCGGGGACGGCGCCCCCCCCCCCCCTCCCCGTGCCACTGACTGGAGGGACCAGGGCCCGGGGATGGCGCCCCCCCCCCCGTGCCACTGACTGGAGGGACCAGGGCCCGGGGACGGCGCCCCCCCCCCCCTCCCCGTGCCACTGACTGGAGGGAACAGGACCCGGGGATGGCGCCCCCCCCCCCCCGCCCCTTGCCACTGAGCGGGAGGAGCAGCACCCAGGGACGGCACAGGCAGCACAGCTGGGCGTTACGCTGAAGCCCTCACACCATGCACGCGAGCTCGGCCCGCTGACCGGCCGCTCTCCCGACCCACACGCGGCCGGCCGCCACAAGCGACGGACGCGCCGCCCGCGCTGGATCAGGGTCAAGCAGCAGCCGGGCGCGCGGAGGGCGGCGGGACCGGGTCACCAGGCGGCTTCAGCCACAATACCACGCCTTAGTTGTACGCGGAAATAAATTTTAATGGTGACTGTAAGATATCCTGAATGAAATTGTTTTATGTATTCATGGGTGATTCAGAGAATTAGCGCTGAAGGTCCTTTGCATTGGTGGGCGAATCAAGACAATTTCCGCTGTAAGACAGCGCATGTTGACAAATGTTACGCGCTACTGTCTGAATCAGTCGGCCAGCAAAAGTTACTGACAGCCAGACCGCCGGCGGCGTTTGGCAGCACGATGCTTTCGGACCTGATGGCGGTCACTGGGAGCATCCGCTGAACAATCAACCGAAGAGCAGACAAATCACGGGACAGTGTAGGCGCCAATGGCTGGATCAGCGAGGCCATTAACACCAGGCCTGACGGCAAGGGCGTTCACTGCCCGGTACGGAAGGGGGGTGGGGAGATGAGAGAGGAGAGAGGAGAGACGAGAGAGGAGAGAGGAGAGGGAGAGGGGGCGGCAGGGCAGGACAGAACGGACAGGAGGGAGACAGCCCTGTGCGCCGAATACCTACGACAGACGACATCCAGTCGGGCCGCCACCACGCTGAAACAGCGCCGCGCACCAGCTCAGATCGGCCGCCCCTCCACCGCACACTCGAGCACAGCAGCCCACCACCATCACAGACCCTCCACCACGCGCAGCCAAACGCCACCGTAGTCACGGCTCAGCTGACCAGCGATCCTCCAGCACACCCGTCACCGCGGACGGCGCGGCCCCAGCGGCCCCGCGTCGGGCGATGCTGCTCACCGGCGGCGGCCACTCACCGGATAGGTTCTCCTCGTTGTAGATGTCGGGCGAGCGCAGGTCGGCCGGCGGTGACCTGGCGACAACACGCGGCGGACCTCAGCACCGGCTCGTTGCTCCGCCGACGGACGCATACTCACACGTAACTTAAAGCTGAGTGCGAGCCGTCAACGCGACGTTCTTAAGCTGACAAGGCGGATGCGCACAAACAAGTGACGTCCCAGTTACCACCGTGTGGATCTTCCCAACCAGTGACACACACTGACAGCCAATGAAGATACCTTGAGTTCAGCCCCAGACGTAAACCTATCTCCCCTAACCCGGCATATAATTAACAGCGAGACAACAGCGCCATTGGCGACAGGCAAGCCAGCACACTGCCGCGCCGAACGCCAGGTCGCCAGGCAGCCCGGCGCAGCGGGCAGGCCGGGCTGGGTCGCGGCCGCTCGCCGCGCGCGCTCGCCGGCCGCTGCCCCCGCGGCGCACCTGTTGAGTGACTCGGTGCGGGGCGGCGGCGGCGGCGGCGTCTCGTCGCCAGACTCATCCTCAGACGGCAGCTTCCGCTTCTGCGGCGAGCTGTTGCTACCGTTCGTCAGGTCACACTGCGGACACACGGGTCGAGTAAGAGCCAGGTCACACTGCGGAGACAGACGGCCGGATGAGGGTTAGGTCACACTGCGGAAAGACGGACCGGGTGAGGGTTAGACACACACTGCAGACAGACGGCCGGATGAGGGTCAGGTCACACCGCGGACAGACGGCCGGATGAGGGTCAGGTCACACTGCGGAAAGACGGACCGGGTGAGGGTTAGACCACACTGCAGACAGACGGCCGGATGAGGGTCAGGTCACACTGCGGACAGACGGCCGGATGAGGGTCAGGTCACACCGCGGACAGACGGCCGGATGGGGGTCAGGTCACACTGCGGACAGACGGCCGGATGAGGGTCAGGTCACACGCGGACAGACGGACCGGATGAGGGTCAGGTCACACTGCAGACAGACGGCCGGATGAGGGTCAGGTCACACTGCGGACAGACGGCCGGATGAGGGTCAGGTCACACCGCGGACAGACGGCCGGATGAGGGTCAGGTCACACCGCGGACAGACGGCCGGATGAGGGTCAGGTCACACCGCGGACAGACGGCCGGATGAGGGTCAGGTCACACCGCGGACAGACGGCCGGATGAGGGTTAGGCCACACTGCGGACAGACGGACCGGATGAGGGTTAGGCCATACTGCGGACAGACGGACCGGGTGAGGGTTAGGTCACCCTGCGGAAAGACGGGCCCAGTGAGGGTTAGGCCACACTGCGGACAAACGGATTGGGCGAGGGTTGGGCCACCATGCGTACAGACAGCCGGGTGAGGGCCAGGCCACACTGCGGACAGGCAAGGTGAGAGTTAGGTCACACTGCGGACAGACGGGCAGGGTGAGGGTTAGGCCACACTGTGGACAGACGGGCCGAGTGAGGGCTAGGCCACACTGCGGACAGACGGGCAGGGTGGGGGTTAGGTCACACTGCGGACAGACGGGTCGAGTGAGGGTTAGGCCACACTGCGGACAGATGGGCCGAGTGAGGGTTAGGTCACAATGCAGACAGACAGGGTGAGGGCTAGGTCACACTGCGGACAGACAGGATGAGGGTTAGGCCACACTGCGGACAGATGGGCCGAGTGAGGGTTAGGCCACACTGCGGACAGACAGGGTGAGGGTTAGGCCACACTGCGGACAGACGGGGTGAGGATTAGGTCACACTGTGGACAGGCCACACTGCGGCCGGGCGAAGCTCAGGTTACACAGCGGCCCCGCCCCCCCCCCCCCCCCCCTTCCCGCCGCACCACGAGTGACGCCACCAAGTGATCCCCGTCCCCTGGTCGTCGGAGTTGTGCCCCCGGCAGCCCCCCCCCCCCCCCTCCCGCCCGGTCCGACTCACTCACCAGAGCGTTGTGTTTGAGCAAAGACCTGGCGCCCTCGACGATCGCCTGGTAGGAGAACTTGAGCTGCTCGTGGGTCTGGATCAGACCCATCCGGTAGCGGCGCATGTCCAGCAGCACGCTCTGTATGGTCTGGCCGTCCACACAGCCGTGCTCCAGCTGCCGACACGGGCGGCGGCGTCACACACTGCCGACACGTGGGCGACGTGACCGAGCGGGCACGCCGACACGCTGGCTGACAGCGGCGCTGCGGCGCGGCGCCGGCCAGCCACCACCTGCAGCCACGTGTGGCACACACTGGTGCAGACACCGCTGACACGGTCACCGCACAGACCGGCCAGACCCGGCGCCGCTGGCCGCCTGGTCGCCGACCTCAGACGGCGGATGTGGCTGGTAGTACATCAGGCAGCTGTGTTATTCTATGCATGTGATCATGTTGTTGGAGGCTCATGGCATTCCTCACTGAAATGTCCGTAACTCGTGCTTAGTTTGGACGTGTCACTTCGATAAATGTACTTTAATTATCATGTGATAGAAACATCAGTCGCCAGTTAACAAATCGAATGGCGAGTAAGACGATCACGGGAGTTGAACACGCTGAATATCCCCAAAAACAGGCCTGCCTGCCTGTCCATGGCGTCCACGCCCCCCCCCCCCCCTCCCCCCCCCCCCCCGGTATGCGCACGCGCGCGACTGGGTGTGAACGCCAGAGCCAGCACTGCCTGCGGTCCGGCAGATGTCAAACAAACAAGGTGCACCTGTTCCAGGAACGGAAACTCCTGTCAGCGTCCGCAACTGCCGATGTGTTGGTTTTGATTGTTGATTTTCTATTAACCATACAGGCAACACCGAAAAATCACATCGCTTTCCGACGGGCACTGACAACATCCCACCATGTCACAAAACAAGATGCGTGGCAGCGGCTGGTCGTACTGTCCGAGCGATACTATTCGGGATCCGTTCTGGCAGAGGCAACAATCCACTGACATCCGTGGGGAGGGGTGGCACGAAACATGAGCCACGAATTTAGTAGGCAGTTTGCAGATTGGACTGCACTTTACGGCCGTCGTCAGTTCTCCAACTCCGGACTGACTGGCCTACGACAGGAAGTTGCCCGTCGCAAAAAACTGCCGCAAGCCAATCACCATCAGCAAGGTTCCAAAGCCGGCCGGTGGCGGCAGTGAGTCCTCTTACGGGGTAAAGCCACAGGAAACCGTCCGAGGAACAGCGACCATGCCGGACACAGGATGTCAACAAACCGCCCGGCACGTGACGGTCCTAGGACCTTCCGCGAAGAGGCCGCGGCCAGGAATTAGGGGAAACGGCAGATAGCAGTCAGCCAGCAGTAATCAGACGCGGCTATCAGGACAAACGCCCGACAGTGTCCGGGCACGGAGCTGCCTGGGTGCGTCCTGCGTCGTCGATGGACCACGAGCGGGCGGCAGGGCTGGGAGAAGGGAGACGCCGTCCCCAGCGACCGACCGCCGCCGAGTGACGGCGCCGTGAGGCCGGGACGCCACCCTGCCTCGCGGCATCACTCACCATGAGCAGGTAGCTGTCGACGAGGCTGAAGGTGCCACTGCGGCCGATGCCGGCCGAGCAGTGCACCACGGCCGGGCCGGCGTCCTCCTCCAGCACGCCGGCGTCGCGCACCGCCGACAGGAACATGAGGAACGCGTGCGGCGACTGCGGGATGCCGAAGTCGGGCCACGTGGTGTAGTGGTAGTGCAGCACCTCCCGCTGCTCACCGCTGGCCCGGTCCGTCAGCCTGCCGGCGCCGGCGCCGCCAGGGCGTCAGCGAGAGGGGCCCACTCCGCGGCCGACAGCGGCGCCGAGGCGTCACAAGGCGAGCAACGGCCGCCGGCGGGGCGCCGACCAGTGCCGCGCAGCAGTGGGCCTTTCGGCGCAGCTGCATTTATGTGGCCAATTTAACTGACCATTGTAGGATGGCGAATGTGACGCCCGGTATGTCAAGCCATGTGGTTTGTTATTTCACTTACTCCTAGCGCAGCCTCCTTAATTGTCAACCTAAAACGGGCTGTATCCTGATTCCGACGCATCTTTGCAGGCCCCAAGGAGCGCGTTTGTGGTGAGCAGTCCCCAGCCGTGGGTCCCGAGTCTGACCCACAGTTACCAGCGCTACGCGGGTCCCTAGCGCAGCGTGGCGGCAGCCGCCCTCAGGGGGGGGGGGGGGGGGGGAGGGTTCCGACAGCGGCGCGCGTCTCACTTGAGCGCCGACACGGTGTAGTAGCTGCAGTCGGTCTGGCTGACGAGCTCCACCGTCAGGCCGACGTCGTCCATCTGAAGCCGATCCTCCGGCCCGCCGCCCAGCGGCCAGTACTGGTGACACTTGATCTGCCGACGAGGCGTCCGACATGTGGCAGTCACCGGCCGCACCCGCTCTGACGGGACGTGCCGGTGTTTCCAAACTAATCTGGTCAGGTGCAAGGATGCCAATACTCGTTCATGCCATTGGCGCACTCTGTCAGGCCTCCATGTGACGCTGTTCCTTCCTTTCCTCAAGATCAACCGGTCAGCGTCGAGCAAAGCAGGCCGGCAAACGATTGTTGACACATCACAGGCGATGCAAACAGAACGAGCGAGTCAGAACGCCGCACTGTCTGGATGCACAGAGTCCAAGGTACTGCTGAGTGGTAGCCAGTAACCTGGCGTCGCCATTGAAAGCTGTAATGTCAGCATGAACTGGATTTCATGACAACATGACAGCATGGCAGCATCAATTGGAGTCAGCAGACAGCATGGATTTCAATCCACATTCTTGTCGCCTAGCTGAATAAATCTGTGAGCCCCGAGCCACGCAGGGACAGCAGTCAGCCTGGGGTCAGACGGCCAGCACTGATGACACCTGACTAGGGGGGGGGGGAGCACACACAGTCAGCAGCCAGGCGTCCGACAGTCTGACAGCGACACACACCAGGCGGGTCCAGGTCAGGAGCGGCGGCAGCACACACCAGACCGACCCAGGTCAGGTGCGGCTACACACAACAGACGGGCCCAGGTCAGGGGCGGCGGCGACACACACACCATGCGGGCGCAGGTCAGGAGCAGCAGTGGCACATGTCAGGCGGGTCCAGGTCGGGGGCGGCATTGACACACGCTAGTCCGGGTTTCCAGTCAAGGTGTCAGCGTATCGCTGGTAAAGAAGTGACACGACCAACAGGCAACAAAGGCAGAAAGTCACTGGGGAGTCATCATAGCTTATTCATCAACCACTGCCACTGCCCAGCTTAGTTTTTCTATGCATTCCTGATGACAACGAGGGATGGAATGTCACTGAATCACCATGTTTGCAGAACTGATCAGCTAATGTCTCTGTAGTTGCAGAACACAATATACATGCTGATGTAAAAGAGTGGCTATGAGCTAGCATTTGTTCCTCTAAAACTCAGGTAGCATATTCCATTTTGCTGTCATCAGTGATGTACACAAAAGTGGGTTTGCAAGTCATGTCCAAATACAAGGACATCTGAACAACTATGATGCTTGATAGTATGTGCAGAAGCTTAAATCTGACATACTTCCACATAAAATGCAAATAAAAGAACTCATACAAATGTGGAACACTTTGTTTCAGGGAATGTACACATTTGCACCTCAGCATCAAACACCATTTTGGCAATATGCAACAAGCAAGTTTACATGGGTTGCAATGCATATTGCAAAATGAGTTTGCTGTGGGAAATGTTTATTCGGTGGTGTTCGGCACCAGACACCAACCATCGTTTTATCAAAACACGCTCTCGCTCCCCTCCCCTCCCTTCCACCCACCAGCGCCTATGGCCTCACCTGGTTCTTCTCGATCGTCTTGTTGAGCATGATGATGGCGCGCGAGCGCTGCTCCCAGACGAGCAGCCAGAAGTGGCCGGTGGTGTTGGGCAGCGGGCCCTGCGTCAGGATGTAGCGCCGCCGCGCCGCCGGCACCTCCACCAGGCTGGCGTTGATGTAGTCGGCCGGGCCGCGCGACAGCCGGATGCGCGTGTGGTCGTACGGGTTGACGTCCCTGTACCGGTTCAGCGGCCGGTTCTCCACCAGCTTGGCGTCCTTGTAGGTGAAGTTGAACTGCTGCGCGTCCATGCGGATCTCCTGCGGCGGAGGCGGCCGGCGTCAGGCGGCACGGCGGGGCGGGGCACCACGGGGGCGCCCGCTCACTGCCGCCGCGGCGGATCGAGCGGGGCCGGGCGGCACGGAGGCGCCCGCTCACCGCCGCGGCGGCTCGACCGGGGCCGGGCGGCACGCCGGCCGCCCGGCTCTGACACTGGTGGGGTGCCCGGTCAGACGCGACAAGCCGCCCACGCCGTCTTCGGGCACATTCGGTCAGGCGTGTACATGGTTTAGCGTTCCTGCCGAATCACAACCAAACCTACAGGATATTTCGCAACTTCTTTCTCACCCTGACACCACCACAAGGTCCGTGAGGTTCATGTGACATTGTCAGCTGCAAGTCGCAAACCACCAGTCCACGGAGCGTGGAGGGCGAGAAAATTTTCCATCCGTCAGCAGCCCTGTCTCCAGCTCCGAGATGTTCTCGAGGCCGTCCATTTCACCGAGGGCGTGGGACTTTTACAAACCAGCAAACTCTCAAGTCTGAGCGCTCCCTGCTACGGAGATCCTCCATGTAAAAACTCTCTCCATTATGTGTCCCCTGTGAGACCTGACAGTCCCAGCGCCTTAGCGACATGTCCTTGACTGACTTAACCTTAAATGCACCCTGGACCATGCCCGTCTCTGGCACCAGCACCTTTTCAGAAGTATTTTCAGGAACACCCATGCTTAAGGTTTGGCAATGTTCTGTGGCCTGGTAAAACGAGATCAATGGATTACTTACAGTTTCTTAAGTATCGCCCATAACTTAAAAATTACGTGACTTTGGTTACTTACGTCAACTGACTATGAAAACTGTTGAAGCCACAGGACAAAATGCAGAGACTGAGGTCGAGAGAAAACATATGACACAACTTGTACAGCCTTCCAGGGCATTGTCAAATGCAACACAACCATGAAGTGGCGAGACTTGGCTGTCACAAGCACTTAAACCAGAGAGACAGCTTGTACAGCATGACAAGAATGAGACCACAGTGGATACTTTTGTCGCAAATTACGCTGAATGGTTTGCACGAGTGGCAAAGTGTCTGGAGTTTCTGCAAAGCTTGCTGTGCCTGTCCTCAACCTACCGGCCTAGTTGTGCCATCCAGTTCAACACATGATTCTGGATCCACTGTTTTGCTAAGAAATACATATGGTTTTACATTTGCACAATGCTGCAGCATGGCCACCCTGGGCATTACTTGACCTTCATTGGCCTACTGCCACCTGTCCCTTCCACATCAATCATGCCAAACAATGTGCCCCTGTTGTGGAACTTACACCTGTGCTGCTTGATACCAAGTCAAGCATGTTTCCCCGGACCAAAGTGGCAGCAAAGAGATTGAAGAACATCAGCAGGATCCCATGTGTGGCATGGGGTGAGTGAGACAACAGCACACGTCAGCTGTCAGCTGTTATCATACCTGGAAATGACACCAGAAGCCACCCTAATGGGCCAACAAATTTGGGACGCGATAACACTAGATTTCGCCAAGTGTTGAAAGCCCCTTCATGAGAATTTAACATGCAGGAGTCCACTGATGTAGCACCCGCAAGCTCAGTCACTGGCACCGGGCTTGAGATGTGGTTGCTTATTAGCAGGCTCATCCTTCAAAATTGTAATTGATGAAATTGATGCGCTTGAAGTAATTTATAGTTTTGGCAATCACGCCCAAAATTCTCTTGAAGCTGTGCATGTTTGGGTGTATACTGGCTAGAATTAATTGGGCCATATGCCTATGTAGTATCACAGCACACCATATCTCTGGGTCACCTCATCTTGCATGCCAGACTGGGCTTCAAAAAGGTGACACTGGCCACTTTCTTGCCAATTTGCTGTACCTACATATGGTACAGTTTTGAAATCTGAAAATGGCTAGTAATTATTGTGTTCATCTACAATGTGCTGTTGGCTTCAAATCTTTATCTGCATCTATGATCATCCAGGAAAGACACAGTTGTTAACACTCATGCCTCATGGCTTCTGTCTTTATGCTCTGACAGCTAAAATCTGATGATGACAACTATGTCTATCGACATCTATGGAAAGACCGATCTACAACGTACGCATGCCAGCACATGGTGGTACGCACACATCAGCCGCTGAGTGCCTGACAATTGTCAGTTCTCTCCCCTGTTAATTAATTATCCTCTGTTCCTTAATTTTCTATTTCATTATTAAGAATTAAGATTACATCAAGACTAATAATCCTCTGTTAATTAATCTGTACAGAATAACTATCCAACTTTTTTTGTTTCTGAAAACTAAACGCACCTATGATAAAAAAATGCATGAAAAAAATGTTTACTTCACAAAAATGTGGCAACCAGGCTGGGCCAGTCAGCTATTCACGCAGAAAATTTAGCACAGTTCAGGTAAGACCCAGTTGACAAACTGCCTCCCTGTCTGACTGCACATCTGGGAAACCAGAGGTATGGGGTTTGATTCGCCACGGTGTCTGCCCTTCCTGCCAGGGTAAGAGGCAGGCGACGCCATATAGCCTCAGCAGCTGGTTGCGTCGTAAAGCCCCAATGGCATGGCTCATTGTCTGACTGTGACAATATTTCTTTGAAGCGGGTACATGGAGATTGTACCTTTATGGCTATATCATTGTTTGGTGCAGTTCTGATTCTAGAGCACAATCCAGCTTTAGCTCATTCAGGAACACAAATTTCAGGTGAGCTGTAAGAGGTCCTGGTGTACAGCCATAATGGATCTAGTACCTAATGCTGGACACTGTTCCTGAGAGTTAGGAGACTTTGGGGAACAAATGTTCCAACAAAAGTTTGTAACACACTTCCCAGGGACAACTTGATCTTACTTTCCCTTGTTTACATTCCCTTTCTGTGTTAACATTTAGTAGCTATTTCCACATCCTGGTTTACTCCTTTTTAGCATGTCAAATAATTCAGAGAAATATCTGACACAGACAGTGCCTTATGCTAATTTTGCTGCAATTTTGATAAAACAAAGGAAGTGCTATCCAGCTACTTTCTTCAACAGCCAGCTGACACCATCTCACAAATGCAATATGCAACAGCATATTATCAGCCAGGAAAAGGGCCTTTTATCTTTTTGGAAAGGCCTCATCTTCCCCCTCACTGTACAGGCAGGAAATGCCTCCCCAATACTGAACCCAAATCATTCAAAATTTCTCCACAACCAGAAAAATGTCTTAACCTGCTTACTGATAAACAGACTGCTCCTGATCCCACCCAAAATATCATCACCACATTATGATGTCACACAACTGTTCTTACAATGCAACCCATATGCATTCAACCACATCCATTTTTATCAGGAGGCCATAGAATTTTATCCTGATAAGAAACAAAAAACAAAAAATTACAATATTGACAGTGGCAATTACTGCACCATTACTAGTGGCACTGAAAACAGAAGCTGGATACAACTATGCTACACAATCAATAATTCATTACAAAAACAAACTACCCTGACTGAAACAAGGTCAAATTTTGCCAATCCCAGTATTCAATACTGTATTATTAGCTACTAGGTACAACCCCTGCATTGACAACTGCATTATGAGCTTAATCATCACCATAGCCAAGGATAATTCAGCATTTATGCAGCATAAAACAGCAAATTTGGCATTTGCATCCAGCAACATATATAGGTGCAGAACAGATTTTTCAGGACATATAATTCTGGCTTCCAAGCAAAGAACTATGCAAAACATTGGAAATAAATTGCAGTATCATGAATGGAATATTATTAGTATGGACAACATGGGCATGTCAGTATATTCCGCATTCCATAATCTTCACATTAATTATAACCACCTTTTGACTCAAACAAATTTGCTAAGATATGTGTGCAGCCAAAAATAATGTGCGTCACTGGGGATTTATGACACACTCAGCTGTTGAGGCTATATGGCATCGCCTGCCTCTCACCCTGGCAGGGAGGGCGGGCACCGCAGGGAATCGACCCCATACTTCTGGTTTCCTAGATGTGCAGTGGTTAACACAGACATGTTAGCCACTACACTGCTGGTGCCTCCCAAAATAGTGACATGATGAAAAGAAAAAAGCTGCCCAAAAATAATTTGATGGTAATTAGTTGTAGCACTGGTGCCAACAAATTCCAACAGCAAGCCATCGATAAACCGCATTTAAACACCTGGCCAAGATTTGAAATGTGCTTCAGGATATGCCCAGTTTGCAAGTTGCACTACACCTTTAACTGAAATAAACGATCATACGTTGACCTGCTTCACACACTTGGCATGTTTGTTCCCAAACAAAGAGACAAGGCACATAAGGTCTTCTGGCTTAACCTGTCACCTAGGGGACTTCAAAATACCTAATGATCCAGCTGCTGGAAACCAAATAGATCTGGACCTTCTTTAATGCTGTTTTTTCTTTGTTAATTATTATTCCCAGCATCAAAGAGGAATGCTGAAAAAGTACGTGACTTAAAACATGTCCATATGCTATAATGCCTATATGACTATGAGTGCCAGAGAAACCACTCCTGCACCACAACCCATTGAGTACTTCAGAGGTCTACAAGGGTGTTTTTGTATCCTTCTCAGAAAGGGCTAGAGATCTACAACAAAGGTCATCACCATTCCACATAGGAAGATGGAGTTTCATCATCACAAGTGTACGGCAAAAAAATTTACAACATGATACACTATAAAAATGGTCACCGCCAAACCTCCCTCAAATGAAATGCATAAATGCGACACACGATGCGGCATTCACGGCACCCCACTCACATGGTACAACATTTGCCACTTTTGTTTTTCTTCAAGTTCATTATAGTCTTTTTCAAGACTGGCAACCGTTTCTTCTGATATCATTGTATGGCAATGAAAGAAATCACATTTATCTGGCCAGGCGAAGCTCCATCATCACACGACCCACACGCAGGACCGCTCCGCCACCAAGTACTGTAATGGAGAACGAAGCGACCCCGGTCCCATGTATTGGTGATGTGATCGCTGAGGACGCAAAACACGAAGAGGTTGGCTCCACCTGGCTGATAGTATACTTTCAAAAATGACGTCAAATTAAGGTAACGTCATCAAAACTGAGCTCTCATTTGCTGCTTTTTAGTTTATGACGTCATAAATATTCCTGTATCCTCAATAATACCACAACTTCTTTGGAAAATATGGTAGCGTATTCTACAAGAGATACCAAATTAGATATTTTCCCTTCACTTCACTTATAATATCTAATGCCGGCGAAATAAGAGCAAAGCAGCATTTTAATGCCACGTGACGTCCGTGCAAACCAGTGACAGATCTCAGACTTCGTGACCCGGACGGCCAAGCAGCATTGTGGGTCCCTCCGGCCGCGTTAAACGGTCAGATGACGTCGGAGAGCAGGACGGACCGTTTCGAACATTGCGGCACGTTACACTTTTGCCAGCAAATTTTGTCATTGGTCTGGAACTGCGCGATTAAATGGTGGGCGTCACGGCTCCCACAAGTTCTACTTTGCACGAGTTCTCATCTCATAAATTCATGCATTAAAGATTGTGTGATTAAATCTGTTAAAAAAACGGTTTTTATTCGACACGGAACAATGGGTCTCACAGCTCGGGCTGGACGGGCTGTGGCTGGTATTGAAGGAGGTTCAGCAGGACCACGAAATGACAATGGTAACGGTGATGGTCGTCTCTCCACGTGATGCTTGGTGCTGTGAAGTTCTTCGAGGAAAAATGTGACTTCACAATGATTTACTGGGCACCACGTGTCAGTGGCTGAAGGTAACCCCAAATGCTGATGCAGACTGGTACCTTAACAAGAGGGACATTTGTATATGCTGATTTGTGACCTAGAAGCCAATTTTGATACTTCCGACCGAGATCTTTCCCAAAGCCCAAAAGCTTTCTGTCGCACCATGACTTCTTCCTATTCCCGGTCACACTCTGCACACAAACTTTAATTCATATCTGGCCAACTTTGGGAAGTAGTGAAAGAGAAACACACGCGTCTACGTGTCCGACCTACTGAATGTTGTGGAACACTCATTTGGGTCAAGTACCCTGAAACAAATATGCCCGAGGATGGCTTTAAGTGGGAAGGACACCTTGCTGCTCGGCCATGTGTGCCCAGGAGGCCGCTGGGCAACATCCAAGACAGTCTGCGCCAAGTGGACACATTATTCGGCAGGCGTGCGGCGCCCGGTTTTCTCACTTAGTGGTTCTAAATTATTTCCACTTGCCTCAGATTGAACTGGGCACAGAGGTCAGAAGCTCTCGACAGTCATCCATCCCCCTCATTGATCGAAACCATCCAGGACTGCTTTCTATTTCAACATGTTCGGCAGCCGACACGCTACCGGGTGGGTAAAATTTCAAGTGTGTTTGACCTTATATTTACTAATGAGGAGGGCATGGTCAGCAAAGCTGAATGCCTGCTCGGGCTAGGAAACTGTGGCCATGTGGTCCTAAGGTTACACTGGTCCGCTGCTCTGGGCTGCGAAATCCCCATCCAGGACAGCTGGTTATTACCAATTGTCAATTACCAATTACCAAATATCAATACTTACGAGTGCTTAGCAGTCATCTTAAAGTAATGGACTGGTCGAAGTTAGAAAACTTTGCCCTCGAAGAAGTGTACAAGTTCTTAAAAAGGAGACCAGTACCATAGCTACTGATGTTTCCCCCGTAAGAAAAACAAGGGGCCAAAGAGGAGCCTTTTTATGAACCAGACAGCCATGCAGCTGAAAAAAAGAAAATGCGAAAAGCCTATGGCTTACATCAAAGCGGACACACGATGTTTTGGACCATGTCAGGTCTGTGCGTTGTCGCGAAGACCTTAGGAAGATGCCCAGAAACCTTCGGGAAGAGTATGCAATGAAGCAGACCTAAAAAAAAAACAATAGCCTTTTGAAATACGCTAACTCAAGACCACTCCAGAATTGCAGGGAAGAAGGCCTTAGTGATGATGGGGCGTTGACCAACAGCAACGAGTGTAAAGCCGCCATTCTCTGTAAATTATTTGCAAACGTTTTCACGAACGAAGGGACAAGTGCCATGTATGTGATGCCTAGCAGCTTTGACGGACCGTTTCTGGAAAACGTGGGCATCTCAGCCCAGACAGTGGCAAAGAAACGGACATGTCTTAAGCCATCTAGCGCCCCTAGGCCAGACGATATACTTAGTGAGTTCTTGGTGAGTTTGTAAAAGTCCTGGTAGTATCTCCAAACATGCAATTCCGAGGATCACTGGCATCCGGAAGGCTCCCCTAGGATTGGAGGCTTGGTGAGGTAGTCCTGTTAAAGAAAGATAACCGACAGTCTCCAGAGAGCTACTGCCCAGTGAGCCTTATTGCTGTTCCTTCCAAGGCGCTGAAGTCTTTTGTCAAAGATGCTCTAGGTAATTTGCTGCGCTGGACCAGGCCCCCCCCCCCCCCCTCCCGAACCCAGCTGATGCAGGGAGTCCGAATCCAGGGCTCAAGGTCGGACTGGATCGACGTCGTCAGCGGCATCTCTCAAGCATCAGTGCTGGAACCGACTCTTCATTATCTTCGTTAACGGTCTACCACAAGAAGTGCGAAGCGAGGTCAACATGTTCGCAATGACAGTGATGTGTATTGTCTTGTTACGAGGCACTGGACTGCGTTTCCTCTAAAGGCAGGCCTCGATGCCGTGGTCCAATGGCCCGATGAGTGGCTGCTCCATTTTAATGCATCGAAGCGCGAAATATTGCACATCGGCAACTGCACCCGAGACTGACCTACTTCCTGAAGAACGCCGAAATTGCAGTCAAGCCCACCAAGAAGTAGCTTAGAATCTTCGTGAATGACAGGCTGACGTTCCATGCGCGGACGGTGGAGGCGGTTTTAAAGAGCCAACCGGATGCTGATGGATCCAGGCCTGCCACGTCGTTTAGTCACTGCTGCCATGTTTTTATCTACTGAACCTTTCATTTCATTATAAAGACATTGGACTCGTTGTGTGCATTATGTGCGCACCCACCAACGCCTGGAACGCCCAAGCGGTCAGCCAAGTCGCTGAGCTGAAGACCAAAACGAAGACCAGAACAACCTGAAGACTGCATGACCAGAAAATGTCTAGCACATGGTTTTGTACCTGTTAGTTGACACGAGCAGGAGCAAAGGAACACGATTACAATGTCGTCATTCCTCAGTAACAGCATATGATTGGGAGCTGCCATTTTCACTCTCCTGACCCTCTTTTGTGTTGACCTCTGTGTAAAACACTGCGTATGGAACTAAACAGACGCAAGCACACTTTCATTAGATTCAGCAGCAGCCATTATCAGATACCGTTGGAATCACGCTCTGCCTCCCCTGGAACCAAACAGACACAAGCACAGTTTCATTAGATCCAGCAGCAGCCATTGTCAGATGCCATTGGAATCGCCGCTCTGCTTCCCCTGGCTCTTCACTGGGCCAACCACTGTTCATTCCAAGTGCTGGCTTGCGAGTGATTTTACTCATTACATTTTCCAGAGCTGCAGAGTTCCTAAAACTCCAAATAATAATCGTTTTGTATGTAGCCACAATGGGTGAATTCATACTGAACATGGCAAAACTGATAGCATTAAGAATTCTGGAAGTTTGCAAAATCGAGGTAAGTGAGTAAGTGTAATCAATCATGGTAAGTGATGCCGAATGCCGGTAAACCCAAAATTTGAATTTTTTCGTGCCTGAAAAGATTTCAAAAGTACTGATACAAAGTAGGGTTACATGCTGTGGTAGGATTAAGGAATGGCATAATTGCGACTGAAAAGCTGGCCGGCCTGCGGCGGAGCCGCAAGCGAAAACCAACAAACAGAATCGAACAGTGTTCCGTGCACTGTTGGCGAACTGCTGGCGCATATCCAACATTTGGCTATTTTACGTTATTTTGGACAACGTGCTAGGTTTTTGGAAATTTGCGGCATAAAAGTACGTATCTCAAATCTTAGCGAATGTTTGTTTCGGATCTATCCGTTCATCTCCACGTCATTTTTGTTGACAGACCTTCGTAGCCGAGTTGTGTCCTATTGCCTTCTATTGCGCACGATTTCTTCCATTACCGTTTGGTATAAGTTGATGAATGTGCCTGGCTTTGCGGCGTCAGCTCATAACATCATCCAGATGATACCTGACAATGCCAAACATGTTATCATCCCGTTCGCCCTGCGCGACACGCAGTGTCTCACCATGGTGGCAACGTGACTGATATGGCTGGGCTCCATGTCCCCTGATAAACTGATATACAGTTAGTGTACGTTGTTCCCTGTATTTCTGAGTCGACTCACTGATGATCATTCGGCTCGATTCCGGCCCCGATTCTCGACATGCGTCGAATCGATATGTATCGAGCATGTGTCGATATGTGTGCTGAGACAGTACCTGAGACAATGACTAAGACAATGGCTGATGTGTACAATGGCTGTATGTGATGTGAGACAATGGCTGATGTGATACAAATCGGTCGATAGGTACGTTGAGACATCGATAGGTACGTTGAGACATCGATAGGTACGTTGAGACATCGATAGCCTCAGCTGTCGAGGCGCGTTCGGATGTCCCGACAGCTGAGGCGACCGGCAGGATCGGTGCCTCACAGATCAGGCGGCCGGCGTCGGTGCCTCACAGATCAGGCGACCCGAGTGTCAGTGTCTCACCGCTCAAAGCGCCTGTTGAGGCTGCGCTTTTGCTGTAACTATGACGGATATGCGCATGATGCTGTGATCGAGACGTTTGTTGTGGCACAAACAAACACAGCGGTCGGGATGTTTGCTCCGCAGACAGCGACGGAACGCAACCGGCTATAGCTGCGCCGAAACGCCAACATCTACAGCGGTCAACGTTTGCCGAAACGCTGATAGATACAGCGGTCAACGTTTGCCGAGACGCTGATGGACACAGCGGTCAACGTTTGCCGAGACGCTGATAAATACAGCGGTCAACGTTTACCGAGACGCTGTTGTCTGCAGCGATCGAGAAAGGT